AGAACTAAGAACCAAACAGACAGTGATGGGAAAGCACTGGATGCCACGGGCTTCTTATTTCTAGGATGCCTTCTGGTTTTTACAATCTGTTAATTCATGCTAAACTGTATGACCAGGTTCTGGGGTTTCCTCTCTGCTCCCATTTCCTCTGTTCTCCTGGATAACTACTGAGTGGCATTGCCCATCAAGCCATCAGGAATACCCGGAAAGTTTCCTCAAGTGTCATCTTCTCAGAGTATCCCTGGATCCAAACGTCCTGTTGAAATCAACTTGTTAGCCTGAAGGATGGGGCTCTATGCACGGGATCCTACCTACCCTTTACCTCTGTCCTCACTCAGCAGCTTAGAGGAGTCAGAGAAAGACTTTCTTCTCTTCTTATCTATATAATTTCTACTGTGATAACCTAGATAACCTATCTGTGTATTTGATAGCAGGATTTTAGCTTTCTTTCTTTCTTTTTTTTTTTGATTTTCTCTTTTTTTGTTTGTTTGTTTCTTTTTTTTTTAAAGCAGAATCTCATGTAGCTCAGGCGGACTTTGAATTCATTATTAGACAGCCTTTGAACGGCACATCCTCCTGATTCTGCCTCCAAAATGCTGGGATTATAGATATACACTCCTATACCTGATTATTTCTCGTTCTTTTCCTCATTATTTTTCTTCTTCTTTTTTTTTTTAAAGCAGAGTCTCCTAACACTTGTGATCCCCTGGCCTCAAACCACCACTCTCTCATGTGCTACCATGCCTCCTAGCTTTTTTTATATAAAGTCGATTGTTTTGCCTTTCCAGCTCCCAAATACCATATTCCATATAGTTGTCATGTCCCTTGGTGCTTCTTTTTTAGTCTTGTCTGTAGCATCCTCTTCGTGGATGACCTTGACAGTTTTGAGGGGTTTGAATCAAGTGTTGTAGGTGTTAGTTGGTGGAGATCTACTTTGGGTCTCTCCCGCAGTGAGAGATTATGCACTTTTGATGAAAAGTTGCAGAGATAAATTGCCACCTCAGCCCGTTATACCAAGGCTACACTTATTACTGTCAGTGTTCTCCTTGGTCACCAGACTGAAGTAGAGTTTTGTCATGATTAAGTAAAATACTCCCTCCCCTCTTTTCCATACTGTTCTGATTACAAGGAAGCCACCACACCGAGCCCATGGAAATTGGTTTGTTATTTACCTCAGTGCCCAAGGTGGGTATTTCTGATAGTCATTTTCTCTTCTCTACTGGTTATTCAGGGCATGACATTCTTCCATTCCATTGCTCCAGCATCCCCCAGGGCTTAACCATCTTAATCCGGAGAGAGTGGGGAAGAGAATGTTTGCTTTTGAAAGCCTTGGCCTGAAAATGGCACATATCACTGCCACTTACATTCCATATGACACTCTGTCATCTGCCAAACCTAATTGCAAGGGAGCCTAGGACATATGGTCGAGCTGGGTGCCCAGGAAAAGGAGGAAATGGATTTGAGGGAAATGCCTGCAGTATTACCACTTTGTTTTAGTCATGTAAAACATAACAAACTAACTCCTTTGTCACCATTAAATAGTTTGGCCACCAGCTCATTAGAAAATAGAAAACAAGATGAATAAAATACGTCTCAACCTAAAAGTTTCTTAAATTATAAATAATTTAATAACCCTTATTTAGATGTCTTATTAAATTTCACTATTCTATTAAATTCACTCTTGATCTGTAAACACTTGTTGGGCACACTAGCTCGCATGCTGGAATTTGAGAACTTACCCTCTATGTTCTGTCCGTCCTGGACTTGTTGGCAGCGTCTGCTTGCTGTGTTTTCTGTTTGGAATGCCTCTGTTCATTTTTTGATTTTGTTATTTGCTTCATCTTTTCAGATGAACATTCTAGGCATAGGCCGTGGAGATGGCTCAGCCCCAGAGTCCGAATAAAATATGCTATCATTCACTCATAATCTCAGGATGAGAGAGAGAGAGAGAGAGAAAGAGAGAGAGAGAGAGAGAGAGAGGTAGATTCTTGGAACTCATTGGCTGGCCAGGTTAGCAGGGCCTGTGAGAATCCCTGTCTCCAGGCAGATAGTGCTTGAGGAACAATACTTGAAGTTGTCCTCTGGAATCCTCACTATCACCTCTCTATCTATCTATCTATCTATCTATCTATCTATCTATCTATCTATCTATCTACCTACCTACCTACCTACCTATCTACCTACTTGTCATCTCCCCCCCACACTTTCATGCATGTGAAAACATGTACACATATATGCACATGCCTTTCTGCACATGAATACACACATATGTAAGGGGATCCTGCCCATTACTGAAGTGGCACTGGTATTTTAGCCTAACTTAGACAGAATTAGTCCTTGCTTCTGGGGAGGGGACATCATGCCACATTGCTTCACTCATTCAGCAACCCCCACCGACACGAGTGTAATTTGTGTTTCATACATTAGCTGAGGTGCACAGGACTTTTCCCCCATCCCCGTCTCTTAGGTTCTTTAGCAGAGATCGACAACACATGTATGTTTTTAATATGAACAGGATGCTCTATATGTCAAAAAAATGGTCCTAGGTATTTAGTATTTCTTTCACATACAGCAAGACACTCCCCTCCCTCACCCAAGGCCAACACTTATATTGGCCAGCCGTTCTTCAAGGGACTGCTTTTGGCTGGAGCTAGAAAGGCTGGTAGGGGTAGAGAGACCATAACGGGTCACTGTTCTACAGGTGGGCAGCACAGCTCAAAGTGGCCTGCACTGGACTCTGGGCATGCTCAATAGATTTGCTAGTCTCCCGTGAAATCTCTGTGGTCCAGGACCTTTGTGTTTCTAGATCATCACACAATTAAGACCAGGACCAGCTCTACCTCCTCCCTACTCTTGGCATAGGGAGGTGGTGTAAAGGTCTTGTGCTCATTATTCTGAACAAGGCTTACCAACCTGAATCCCCAAAGTCCCAACAGGGGGATAGCATCACCATGGCAGAAAACAGTGTTTAATTGCAGGTGCAGAAAGAGAAGCAGGAGGAAAACAAACAAGAATTTGCAGGCCCTAATGAGTAGTTGGCCATGCATCTCATTACCAAAGGGAACAGGACTTCCCAAAGTGACCTGAAGCTTGTCGGAAAGACATGGATTGGGAGACCTTGCCCCTTTCCTACTGTCATTTTCTCTCTGTCTAGTCTCAGCCTTCACAAGTTCAGTCAATATTTTGCCACAAAAGACCCAGGAGGCATGGAATCTGCTCTTAAAGTGCCTTCTTCACCCTTTTAGCTCCCTTGATTTTTATAGTTGAAACTTTGTGTGCTAATTAGGATTTATAGATTTGTGCAGTTTTCTGGTTCATACCATCACATAGTTACTCGTTTGACATTCCGAGTGCTTGCTGTATGAGTAGAATTTTTTTTTTTCTCAAATCCACATGAGAAACCTGAGATGCAGATGCCAAGACCTTTTTTTGCTTGGGATGCCAAGAAAGCTGGGGCTTTTGGATGGGTTTTATGCTCTAGAGCTGAGTGGGTCATACATAAGTCTTTGCCTAGCCATGCCAGTTTGTTGAAGCTGAATGCAGTTGTTTGTTCTGTAACTGTGTGTTTCTCTGACGTAGCCATGGTGTGCATATAGGGTTCAGTGGGTCTGTGGAGACCAAGCACTGAGGGCAAATCCTGTCTCCACGAAGGGCAGAGAGCAAATTATAGAAGGGGCATAAGGCCCACTTAGTTTGATTTCCAGCTTGTCTCAATAAGGAAATTTAGATCTGCAAATTAAACATATTTAATTTAATTCAAAAGAATATATTGCTATTAACCAGAATGCCTAGTTTTTAATTCCATTTCATATTCACTCCTTGTTTCAATTTTCTTAGTATTTCTTTTGTTTCTTATGACACTTATGGTGCCGAACACATTGCTTATATTTCCAGTTGTGGCCATCAAGTCACATACTGGATTCCTCTTAGAACCAAACACCATGAAAGTGTTCAGTTTGCCTGATGTGTTCCTAGAGAGGGGGAAAAAGTGAATTCCTAACTTATACTGATGGAATAAACACAAAGGTCTAGGCTGTCAGGCACAAATTCAATGATGATCCTTCCAGAGACATCATTCTTAACTTCAGCACTGTGGTTTCCATCTTTGCCTCGGTTTCTGCCATTAGAGACAGCACTGTCTGTTTCTGCTTATGTTTTATGAAATAGCTGGAGCTGTAAATATTCTGTTAATTTCCATCCAGCACTAGACAAGAAAGGATGGCAGCGCCGTAGAAACCAGTTTGTTGCATCATCACAATGGAAGACCTGTAAATATTTATATAAATTGATATGCCGAAATATAAATGTGCTCTATCAAGAAGTTTGATGATTTAGTTATACAAAATGTCTAAAAGTGAGGACCACTATGGCTTTATTTTTTTTTTTGAAGAAGTGTTTCTGACTTGAGGCTTTTGCTGTGTTGCATTGTGTTAGAGACATGAGTTTTGTTGGGCCCCTCTGTGGTGAAGGGTAACTGTGCAGGTCTCATTCCTGCACAGATTTCATCTTGCTTGTAGTTCTTTTTGAATGAATTTGACCAGAATTTCAAAACCCAGGTGCTTCTGACATGTACTTGACATACAGAAATGAGAACTCTTCCAGATCCCAATTATGATGTCAGGAAACATAGGAGCTGTCATGGCATTTTTGCCTTTTCGGTGATGCTGGAATAGAGCCATAAACTTGGGGACATCTTGTAGGAAGACACCATCTGTAGAAGAAGGGGGAATGATTTACTTTTTAACTTGTCTGTGTTTTCTAACCATAATTAGTTTTAATATTTACTGACACATGACAGATTTCAAAGCATTATGGTTCTGCCCCTAGGAAGAAGAATGGCATAGCTATTACACAGAAACAAGCCCCTTCCAAATGCTAATTTCAATATTTATAACATGGGCACTTATGCCTTTACTTACGGAATGTACTTAACAACTTGCAAGTGGTGCATTTTTATAAACAAAATAAAAAGCGAATAATTATTTCATCTTGTCTTGCAGAACCCCAGCTGAAAGGGATTGTGACAAGGTTATTCAGCCAGCAGGGATATTTCCTGCAGATGCATCCAGATGGTACCATTGATGGAACCAAGGACGAAAACAGTGACTACAGTAAGGAACATCAGCTATTTTCAATGCTGTGCAAATTGAATATGTGGCCCAACACAGCCATGCTGCTTTTTGGACTATTCACTGATAAATGAACTAGTCTTCCCCATTTAACCTTCTTGCAGCATTAGCCTCTTATTCTCTATAGAAAATAAAGCTCTATATCAGAGGAGATATGTGTTCATTGAGAGGGCAGGGTGCTTGAAAGATTTTCAGTAGCCATTAGATGCACATGTCTTCTTACTGGGTTGTTTCTTTGTCAGTGAGCTAAGCACTCATAGAAATAATACAGACTTTCCAACACAAGGTGATATTTAAATCTTGGACCAAAGTGACAAACGAATTATAATTCTCAGAACATATTTTTTGGTGGAAAACATTACTTCTTCAGGCAAACATGAGATACATATGTATATGTCATTTCATTGTGGTTAAGGACAACATCTGAACATCATCATGGTGTTCAGTACATGTAATTGGAATGACTTCGTAAAGACTGGTAGATCTGATGTGGACTTAAAGACAGTCTTGAAATAAAAGTTGCGAATGTTAATGATTTTTTTTTAAAAAAAATCTCCCAGAAGCATTTTAGAGTTGACAAGTTCAGAAGGGAAATGCAGTTCATCAAGGCACGAGGGAATGTATTTGGATTTTGAAAACAATGAATACAGCATAAAATATGCTGTAAATCTTAAATTAACAACGGCATTTGAGGCAAGATTTAAAACTCTTAAAGAGCTGAGACGTTCCTGTCCACCCCTTTTGAATTTTCTTTGTTTACTTAATATTGTGCATTACAAAATATGAATTACAATAAAGAAAAGATCTTATTATGAAGAATCCCATTCCACTTTTCTCTCGGTTTTTGGCAAAGCAGTTGATTGCTTCATTGTGGTTTGCACTGTTAATTTGTGTTTCCATGAATGCATTCTCTAAGTGGTTCAAGCTTTCAATTCAGGCGAGAAGAATGAAGTGCCCGTACTCCCTGCATATGTTGACCATCTATTGCATCTGCACTTGAACGTCTGATTGGGAGAGCCACACTTACAAACCGAGGCAGGGAACTGCCTAGCTGTGCCCCTCGTGTTGATTGTGAGGTATCTCTAGACTTCAGTTCCATGTTTAACACAAGAAATGACTAAAGAGCAAAACATTAGCAGCATTTTCTTTCAACACCACCCAAAGGACATTTTTAAAAGTTGAAAAATTAATGTTACCACTTGCAGCAGCCATCCTGAGACCCTGGGGACATTTCGGAAGAGAAGGTGACAGGACGGAGACCTAGAGGAGTTCTTTAAAATATCGCCTTCTGCATGTGAAAAAGCCATAGTAAACATGCACACATAGCAGCCAAGACCACAAGAAAGACACATAGAAAGGACAGGGAAGTTGGAGAGGGAAGAGTTGAGAAGAAAAAGGAGGTCAGAAGGATTGGAGTGGAGTAAGAGAAAGTAGTAGGGGGAGCCTTCATTGTATACAAGTAAAAAGCATCAAAATTGAAACCATTTAAATGAAAAAGTTATAAACTGATAGAAACTGATCTGTTCCCTAAACAAGTCATGTAGCCATTCTCTCTCTGTTCTTCAGGAGGCTGCCTGAACCCAGCCAGGTGTGTAACACTTTCTACCCAGAGGAAAGAGGGTAGCAAACAACATGGGATCCAAGCACACAGATCCTTCATTGTTGCCAGAAAAATAACTTAAATCTGAGTCTAGGCACATCACATACTTGAATCCATGCATACATACATACATGCATACATACATGCACATGTATTCCAGGCATACATGAAAAATACATAGAGCACCAGAATTCCTGATACACATGCACCACACGCATTAAGGGTCACTGATGATGTGTTTTATAAAATGCTTACAGAACTGATTTAAACTCAGAAATTTATATCATTGTTTTTAAGCTAAGATGATCTGCCGTGAATAACTTTGACAAATTATTATCAAAATAACTTCAGTGTGCACACTCTAACGTTCATTTAGATATCAATATGAAAGTTATTGTTTTAATAATTCATACCTTCTCTTCAAGAAAAAAAATTCTGCTTTTCTTGATTATCAATATCATAACTTCCCAAATTTGACTTTGCCTGTTTAGATATGATATGCTATAGCCGAATACTCATTTGGATGAGTGAGTTTATTCAGCACCTAACAATTTAAAATAAAGGAGTAAATAGTAAGTGTTATAGAGATAGTTGCATAGACAGGCAGATATATACAGGTAGCAAGATATCATCCAAACATTCAGCAGAAATCAACAGGGAAGACTTCATTGAGGCCGTCATTGGGAATTCTAGGAAGAGGAAGTCTATGGCATAACAGAGGGTCCCTTGGGTGAGGCTTCCAAGTGAAGAAGAAAAAAATAAGTTGGCAGTGGTCCATGTTGGTGAGTGGGGATATGGGAACAACTGGGGACAGAAATTAGGGTTAGATGTATCCTATTTTTTTGTATACCTGTGTGAGATTCTCAAATAGGAACATATAGAGATGATATCACAATGTCTCACAGATGCTGGGAAGCTGAGACAGTAAACTTGAGTTTTGGATTGAGATTTTAACCCATAGATGGAGTTAATCCCAAGAACGAACTGGTTTCTCTTTCCCACTACAGGAGCTCTACGATATGGGCTAAACAATAGTAACCTCTGTTGGAGACAGTTCACCTTCTAGTTCTTCTCAAGGGCAGGATGATCACACTCTTGGATGACCTTGTAGTGAGGGGCAGCCTATTCCAGCAAGGGGACCTGAAGGACACTTTGAGATCAATGTGCTTGGGTTCTGAGATTAGGGAACCATCTCACTTCAGAGCCAGCTTCTCAGTGAGCTCCAAAAACACAGGACAGTTTACCAACATAACATACATTACACATACTGTTTTAAAAATAACCTCTTCTGTTCATATGCTGAAACCACTCTTCATATCGTCTGGTGTATTTTAAGCTTTTCTTTAAGTCAGAGCATTGTGTAATATACATGTTACGTTCTGTCATCCATTTTATTATGGTTATGAGGCTCTTATCTATGTCATGTGTCTATTAAGGGTGTGCCATGATGCTGCAGTATGGAACATGCCTTAAACAGATGGACCTTTGGGTGCCATTTTAGATCCAAATTTATATCCATTTTATTCTTGCTTTTAACTTCTGTGGCTATGCAGCATATTTGTTTTGCTATTTATTTATTTATTTCATCTCATTGACCAGAAGGTAAGCTCCCATGTGAAGAAGTTTTGTTTTGGTCCTTTATTATATTTATAATAGTCTATTATGCATAATACACATTTGCTGGCTGGCTGGCTGGCTGGATGAATGGATGTGTCTTCTTGTAAACAGGTTTTCCAATGATTGGCTAAATGATTCCCACCTACATAATGTTTACCTTTTACTAGTTTAAATTTTATTTTATTATTTTGTGTGTATGGGTATTTTGCCTGCCTGTGTGTCTGTGAACCCCATGTGTACAATGTACCCAGAAGTCAAATGAGGGTGGTGAATTCTTCAGAACTAGAGTTACAGATAACTGTGAGTGGTATCTGGGTGGTGGGGATGGACTCCAGGTCCTCCGGAAGAGCAGCCAGTGCTCTTAACCACTGAGCTCCAACCCTACCTTTGTTTTTTGAAATAATGCTAGATCTTAGCAAAATGAGATATTGTAGCAAACACATTTGTACTCACAGAGCTTTCTCTAATACCATTGTTCCATACAAAATAGCGATCAAAACCAGGAGATGTACATGCATACAATGCTATCTACTAGGTTACAACATCCTTACGTCAATTAATGAACTTCCTCCTGACCCTCTCCCACAACCCGTACTAATAAAAAATGTCAAATGAAATAATAATTTTTTTAAAGTTCTTTCCCTACGTGGAGACAAAGGCTAAACAATGCCAGAGAGACATTCAAATTCAACTCATGTTTTTAATAGAAAAATTATAAGCCTTTAAGTTGTTAACATGCCTTTTCTTCTCCACTCTGTGTGGGTGGGGAGCAAAAGCAGTTGATTGTTTGAAAAAAAGGAAAAAAAAAAAACTCTTGTTACTATAAGCATCTGCCAGAAATGTTTTGTTTGGTTCATTAGGTCCAAACCATCTTTACCATGACATCTTCAGAGAACTGATAGACACCTGCTCTTTTGTTCATGGAGAAAAGACTAATTATATGTAATTGAGTACAAAGCAAATGGTTTTTTTTTTTTTTTTTTTTTTGCAGTGGCAGATAAGAATCGCTACAAATGGAATGATAACAAAAATGCAGGGCTGTGTTGGAACACTGCTACAAAAAAGACAATTGCAGCTTGGAGGGTATTAATAGGAATATTTTACATAAAATTTAAAAGCTCATTATTCTGTTCTATACGTTCTCACGGGAGATCCATTTGAAGAGATTAAGCAATGCCGCAAAGAGAATGATGATGATGTAACCAATTGTATTGTTCTCGTTTCATTGGGGGCAAAATACAGGAAGTGCCCTCTGCCTGTGGAGAGGGGCTGCAAGCTAAGGTTAGCGTCACTGTCCGACTGGTGAGTGGGCTCCATATTGAACCCACCTGGAGTGACGGGAGATGGCCATGGAAAGCCCCTTTGTGTAGCATGAAGAAGCAAAAGGTTTGAGTAGTCTTGGAGTGTGGGGGGGGGGACCCTGGAAACACCCCCACACCCTCCAGTCCTTTCTTTTCTGCATTATTTTTGGGAAGGAAATTCAAGCATGTGGGGCAGAATTATAAAGGCCCAAGTGAGCTTGCGGCTGAGAAAGCGTGTGAAGAACAGCAATGCTAGCCCTGTACTTAGCAGGTTGGAGGTGGATTATAAACCATGCCACGGGTACAGTCCCGCAAGGCCCCGGTGATGGGATGGATGAAAATAAAAGCAAGTACACTCAGGACCCATGTTTGACCACAGACACAACAAGGATGCAGGATAAATGACGGAATGGCCACTTTTCAGTCCTGGCTGGTGAGCGTCACTGCTATTTCATCAAGCAAAG